GGGGGGGGGGGGGGGGCGGGAAGTGGGCATTACTAGGAGGCTAACCCTCACCTCTGGGCCCTTACATATTCAGTGTTGGATATGCCTTGTACCCTATCCCTGTCCACAGTGTCCTTTGAAAGGGGGAAAGGAAGAGAGAAGAAAATACTTAAAAACAAATCATTTTCTGGGAGAAAAATGAAAACATTTTATTGCGGAGTGCTCCCTAGAAGAGTCAGAATAATCTGGGCACTTGTGTTCGAAGACCACACAAAGGGTTTCTGGGTCAGTACAGACTCCACACCTAAAGGGAAGAACTTACACACCTCTTCCTCTCTCTTTTATTAAAAATTTTTTTAATGTTTATCTTTGTGGGGGGGGGGGCAGAGAAAGGGAGACACAGAATCCAAAGCAGCTCCAGGCTCTGAGCTGCCAGCACAGAGCCAGACTTAGGGCTCAAACTCACAGAGTTGGGAGATCATGACCTGAGCCAAAGTTGGACGCTTAACTGACTGAGCCACCTGGGCGCCCCTCTTCCTCTCTTGACCTCTTTTCCCTGCTCTCTAGTCCCCAGACTTGCCCACTCTTTCTAGGATCCAGACTTGAAATGGTGGCTGCCACCGCAATACCAAAACTTTTAGGACATTCCTGTGCCCCCCTCACTTTCCTAACTGAGGGCTGCAACTTGTCAAAAGGGTCTGTTTGAGGACGTTAAGACAAACGCAAAGGAAAACAGAAAATATGAAAGACTAGAAGCAAGTTTACAAAAAAATCGCTTTTTTCCCCCTTAATACAGCTAGAGTCAGGCCATTGATGAACTAAGTGCTCAGCATGATTTGATTTCAATAAGGCGCAATAAGTCATCATCTTTGGCAGTCACAGATGCCTTTGGCAGTCTGGTGAAGCCTATGGACCCCTTCTCTGAATAATATTATAAATGCACAAAATAAAATATATAGACTTACAAAGGAAATGCAACATATTAAAACACAGTTCTCAAAACATCACCAAAAATGTGTCATAGTAACATGGGCCTCTTGGTTTATGCATCAAATAACCAGACCCAATGGCAGTTCCAATAACCACTGGCATTTTGAAGTAGTCGTGAGCATAAATGACATTTCGAGATGCCTGCAACAACTGGCAAATGAAACGCAAATCTGTGATGTCTATTACTGACAAATTCACTGGTGCTGTTAATGTTTCTGTGGCTTGTTGCCTACATTCATTATTTCAATTCGAAGCTAGTGAAAATAAAGGTAAATTTTGCTATATGAATTCAAAGTTGTCCACCCCTACCCCCAATTCTAGGTCCATAGGCCTTTGGTTAAGACCCTCTGCTCTAAGGGATCATATAGTCTCCCATAGATTGGAATTGGCTGCCTTCAGGGTGACATTTCTCCCCCATCCAGTTTCCAAGCTTTGGCCCTGGAATTGGTTGCCCATGAAGTCCTAGATTCCGGTTGGGAAAAGCTTAGCACTCTCAACCCATTTGCCCAGCACTGATAATTGCCATGCTCTGAGTCCACTGTGCAACTTGCCTTTTATTAAAGTTCTGTCTGGGGTGCCTGGGTGGCTCAGTTGGTTAAGCATCCAACTTTGGCTCAGGTCATGAACTCACGGCTTGTGGGTTCGAGCCCCACGTTGGACTCTCTGCTGACAGCTTGGAGCCTAGAGCCTGCTTCAGATTCTATGTCTCCTTCTCTCCCTGCCCCATCCCCACTTGCACTCTCTCTCTGTCTCTCTCTCTCTCAAACATAAATAAATGTTTTAAAAACTTTTAAAAAATGTTTGTTTAATGAGTCACTAGGGCAGCTCCCAGATTTTCCAGAATTTTCTCCCCATAGTTTTAGACTAGAAAATCGCCTATGCCTACCTAGCAATACCAACTCTGCAAGCCACCATCACCTTTGCCCCCAACCCTGAATAGGACTCTTTTTGGCAAGTTCAGAGGGGGTGAGCAGGGGGATGCATAAAATGGGTGATGGGCATTAAGGAGAGCACTTGTTGGGGTGAGCACTGAGTGCTGTATGTAAGTGATGAATCACTACATTCTACTCCTGAAAGTGATATTACACTATATGTTAACTAACTGTAATTTAAATAAAATCTTGAAATTAACAAAAAAAAAAAAAAAAAAGAGGGGGCAGTCCTGGGAAGGCTGCAGTGATCTTTAAACCAGAACAACCAAGGGCTCACTCATGGCCTTCATGCCCTCAGTTGGAAAGAGGGAAATCTGATGATTTCATTAGAAACCTAATGATTTCATTCTTGCTCAACAGCATCCATCTTTCTGGGTGAGAAGCAATAGTCCTTCCCAGAGAGGGGGGGTGGGGTGGGGGGGGAAACCAGCCAAATGATCTCTTTGGAGCCTTCCTCATCTGGGATTCTTGCCCTCGTTCTTGGCCTGTTCTCATGTGCTCTCCAACCCCTGGTGTTCACTTACCTAAAAATACGTAGACGGGGAGCCACTGCAAAACAGACAGGGTTTGGAGGCATTCGTGAAGATCCAGTCCGGAAAGGAAGGCCATGGCTGTTGTGGCAAGAAGCCCAAACAGAAAGCCAGCACTTCTAAAGCTGTGCTGATTACAGGTGCTTTGCTTTCATCTCTTATCACTGAGTCCCTTTAGCTGCTGAAGGTTTTAGGCTTGACCTAACCTTTCCCCTAGTCTTCCTTGTTCTCTGTCCCGCCCTGGCTTCCTACACACACATGAGGTTTCAGATCATGCTATCTAATCTCCCTAATATATATCCCTTCTCCTTGTGTGCTTCATTGCAATAAGGCAGATATCGCTTAGGGGTGGTTCTTGCTGTGTGTGGGGAGGTCCCTGATAGATGAGTGCAGGAAAAGAGAATGGCTTAGACTCCAAATAAGACCTCTGAAAAGCAACCTACTTCCCTGCTTAAGAAAGGAGACCTGGTAACTCCACTTGTTTCTGCCCTAGTGGCTGCTCTTTGGCTCCTCCTGTCTTCTGCTGAGAGCCACCTTGTCAACTTGGGCCTTTTTCTGCACAGATATCTTAACTTCTCAGATCCCTCCTTGTGCCTCTATTTCACAGGGGCTCGGTATCAGCAGCCAGATACCACATGGTAGAGTGGGAGAGGCACTGTACAGAGAGAACATATCTTGGGTTCCAGTCCGAAGTCCACCATGTTATTCCCGTGACACCTTTGCCAATTGCTCCATCTCTCTAGATCTCAGCTTGAGCATTCGTTGTTGGAAGGCAGTGTATTGGTTAGGAGCACAGATTTTTTTTAAACTTTCTTTTTTTTTTTTTTTTAACGTTTATTTATTTTTGAGACAGAGAGAGACAGAGCATGAACAGGGGAGGGTCAGAGAGAGAGGGAGACACAGAATCGGAAGCAGGCTCCAGGCTCTGAGCCATCAGCCCAGAGCCCGACGTGGGGCTCGAACTCACGGACCGTGAGATCGTGACCTGAGCTGAAGTCGGACGCTTAACCGACTGAGCCACCCAGGCGCCCCAGGAGCACAGATTTTAGAGCCAGATAGCTGGGGTTCAAATATCAGCTCTGCCACTTACAAGTTGGTGAACTCCTGTGCCTCGGTTTCCCCATCTGTAAAACAGGGATGATAGTAGTACCTACTTCATAGGGCTTTTCTGAGGATGGGATGAGTGAATGAGTGTAAAGTGCTTAGCATAGTGCCTGGCACACAGTAAGCATTATGTGTTCCCTGTTATTATTTGTTGAGTTCAGTTCGTGTCTATTGAATATCTACTATGTTTCAGGCTAAGAGGCTTACTTCTACACACTGGCCTTTACAAAATTAAAGATTGTTCCCAGGTCCCAGAACTCTGGATTTATAATTTTTTTCTGCAACTATCTATGGAGTGACTACTGTTTGCCAGGCACTGCTGTAGATGCTGAAAATTCACTGGGGAAGAACATGGACATGATTTCTGCCTTCATTGACCTTACAGTCCAGTGGGGGAGACAGACATTAAGCAAAAGAAAATCATAAAAGTGTCTATGCACTTGAATTTGTGGTAAGTGTCTTAAACAAAAAGGCCAGTATTGTCAGCATAAGGCCTTGGATATAGAAGGTGCTCAAAAAACATTTTGAATGTAATCAAAAAGGCTGCTAGGAAAATCAAATACAAAAATGGTATCAAGTATCTTACAAGTGCAAGGAAATAGATTCCTTAGGCTTTTCCATGCAGATTAGCAGAATTCTGTCTTCCTCCCTAAACTCCACTCTGGTTTTCACCTGCCTGATTAGACTGACTAAGATTTTGCAGAGTTAAGCTTAGGGAACATTTTTGGTATGTTGTGGGGGTGGTGTGATTTCATTCCCCAATGTACTCTAGATGGTCACCAAGCATGTCACCCCATTTTGTCTAATTCCTCTTTCTTTTCTTCCCCTGGCTTCCTGGGGTTCTCAATCTGCTTATTGGGGCTACTTGGCCACATACAGGGTGAGATGTATTGGAGCATGTCCACTCAGAATTTTCACAAGAGGAGGGAGAGAGTTAAGTTAGGTGGGCCTCAGTCTTCTAGGGGAAAGCGCAGATGTAGAAGGCTGGAGTATCCAGAATGGACAAGATCCACAATGTTGAGAGCTCCATGTCCCCTTATAGATCAGGTCTCTACCCTCCTTCACCTTCAGATGGGTAAATGGAAGAGGCCTAGAAAGGACTCAAAGTCCCTGTGTCCAAGGCAGGGCAAGGACAGATCAATTTCCATTTCTCTCTCCCTAATGTCCAGCTCAGGGCCTGGTACAGAGTAGATACTCAAGTAAATGTTTGTGGAACAAATGAAGGAGATCTGGTCTCCTGGTTCATCAAGCAAGGTGGACAGGCAGGGATGGGTCAAGCCCCTGATTGGTCACCCTTTTCTCCCCAAAGCAGAAATCATGCTTTGGAGCTGGAGCTTTCTAGAGCCAAGTGGACAAGTGTAACATAAATACCAGGGAATGCAGAAAAGCCAGGACAAAGTGAAGTAGGCCAGCAGACAAACCCTGAACAGTCAGCACTCATGATTTCCCAATTACAGTTCATTCAACCAACAAACAAAAGCTTAGCTGTCTCAGAGTAAGCAGTACCAAAATAAAGGTGGCCAAGAAGCATGAAGGTCTGCCAATTTCATTCACAAACATTTAAGGCTGACATGATTCTACCCCTCAAGAAAGTCACAGTCCAGGATGTGAGGTAGACATAATCACCAACACATCTGGGGTACTATGAGGTGCGCAGAAGAGAGAAGCGCCTACTAGCCTGAGAAGATAAGGGAGGACTTTATGGAAGAGGAGGTGCTGCAGTGAAGGGAAACAGACTAGGCACAAAAGGCATGAAGGACAATCCAGGAAAGACTGCAATTAGTTTCTCAAACCAACAGGAATGGGGTTCTGGGATAAGCTGGCAAGCTAAGGAGTGTCTAAGGAGCAACAGAAAAACAAAGACAGGAGAAAAATGGAAGGAAGAGAAGGTCAAGGGGACTGGGGGGTTCAAAAGGAATGGTGGAAGTGAGGGAAGCTCTGAGAAAGAAGCAGTCCCAGGATTCTTCTTCCTGGATTCAAAGGTCCACCCTCAGCCTTCAGAATGACTCGTTTCCAGAAAGCTTTGGATAGCTGAGGTTTTACCATAGTGCTCTATCCTCTGATCTTTCCCCTTCTGCCATACTTTTTTCCTAAGTTTATTTTTTGAGAGAAAGAGAGAAAGAGAGAGGGGGGAGGGGCAGAAACAGAGGGAGAAAGAGAATCCCAAGCAGCCTCCATGCTGTCAGCACAGAGCCTGACAGGGGGCTCAAACTCACGAACCATAAGATCATGACTTGAGCCGAAATCAAGAGTCGGATGCTCAACCAACTGAGCCACCCAGTCGCCCCCTTCCCCCGCCTTCTGCCATATTCTTATTGGGTTAGGTGTTGCAATTTCAGTTCAATTAAAAGTACACATGGAGAACCTATTTAATGGCAAGCACCAGACTAGGTACTATAGAAGGTACACACATAGTCCTTCATTCACCAAATTTTTATTGAGGTCTGGTTATAAGCCTGGTATTGTTCTAGGCTGACAACTGTGCATGTGTGGTGTGTCAGGGAGAGAGGCAGAGAGTAAAAGAAGTGCATAGGTCATCAATACAAGGATTAGGGCCATCGGAAAATTACAAAGACAGAGGATACTTCTCCAAGTCTCAGTTTCCTAATCTGGTAAAAAAAGGACTAATCATATTTATTCACTGTGACGATTAGTGATAATGTTTGAAAAGCTCCTTGGGCAGTGTCTGACACCCAGGAACTGCTTGATAGGACTGGTATTCAGCTGTAGGGAGGTGGTGTTTGCAGTGGGCTCCAACAGGCAGAGAAGTAGGGAATATGATCCTTCCTGTGGTGCCCAGTAGACACAAAAGTCTGGAGGGTTTTGCTTTGGCACAGGGACTGGTTTAGTTTGACTGGAGTCTCAGGTTCGTGGCAGGGAAGAGGACAGAAGGCTGGAAATCATAGATGGGATGTTTTTCTTACAAATCTCTTCACGTCTGGAGGTCAGGGGGTCTAGAACCTAGTGAAAGTAGATCCTGGAGAGGTGGTTCCAAGGAAGGGCCTGCAAAGGTGGAGGGTAGGGCAGAATAGGGTGGGTATTTCAAAATCTCATGAATGTCAGTGGATCACTTCTCAGGGCAGGCAGGCCTTGGAGTACAATGGCATCTGGTACCTTGTTCAGGCTAAGGTGACCAGCCATGTCTGTTTGCCAGGCACTGAGGATGTGGGATTTTCAATGCTAAACCCAGGATGGTCTTGGGCAAACCAGGCGGTTGGTCCCCTAGTTCAAGTGATTGTCACTGTCTCCTGGACTTTAGCTTCCGCAGGTCTCCCATCCTTTTCAGTCTCCGTGCTGCTGCTAGAGAATGTCTGTCAAATACAGTTCTTTGCATCTGTCCTGTTTCAAACCCTCCAAGGTCTCCCATGGTCTTCGGGATCAAGTTGGAACCCTAGAGCCTGGCATCCAGAGCCCTTTCTACACTGGTCTCTGCCTTCCTTGAGAGTCTCATTTCCCATCACTTTCACAACCCATTAAATACAGCCTCCTTCCCCAAACAGGAAGTGCCCTCTCCTCTTCTGGGCCTTACCAGCTTGACTAACTCCTACCCTTGCTATCTCTACCCTGCTCTCCCCTCTGGATTCCCAGGGTACATTACACCTATTTTGGGGAGAGTATATATCAGGGAGTTAGTCTGGGATTGTGGACCCTGCCTCTACACCCAGCTTCTAGTACAATGCTTGGTAGGCTTTTGGTGTATATATTTTGAATAGTTACTATATTCATGTGATTCAAAATTCAAAAGGGACTATAAGGAATTCAGTGAAAAATCTCCTTCCCACTCCTGGCCTCTAAGCACCCAACACTGTTTTCCCCTCCAGGGATATTTCATGAGCACAAGGCAAATAAGGTAATTTACTTTGTTAAATGAATACAGGAGCAAACCAGTAAAACCCGGAAATAATTCAAATGCTCACGATCTGGAGCTGGCTAAGTAAGCTATTATATAGCAACATTACAGACAAACCTGCAATC